ACTACTACTACTACTACTTACTACCTACCTAACCTACCTACTACTACACGACGACGACTACTACTACCCTAACCCCCTAAAAAACCCCAAAAAACCAAAACACACTCTCTCTCTCTCTCTCTCTCTCTCTCTCTCTCTCTCTCTCTCTCTATACCCCAAACATAACACAGCCATCAAATTGAACTTTTACCAAATATAAACTTGGTTCGATCAAGAGAGAGTTCTTGATCTGGATGTTCATCCAAAGCCTTAATGTGTGATGCTAATGCATTCAGTTCCTTGAGAAGTAATTTGTCCACTTGAACCAACTCAGCCATGCAGCCCAACAGTTTTCTCATACACTTAATTGCTTCCTGTTCAGAGGGCCGGAAATGGAGCAGAACCACAGCCTTACACAATGCTGACAGGTATGATTTTCCTGCGGCCGTCTTCTTTATTGGATAGCTCACCACCTTTGATTTATATATACAACATAATCAGCATACGCAGTTCAAGGTTCAAACACTGAGTTTCTCCCTACCACTTGGTAGCAGATGCAAGAAATAATCCAGAAATAACTACTCTCTCTCTCTCTCTCTCTCTAGGATGCCAAAACCTCAAAATCACTGGAAAAGAAGAAGAAACAGAAGCACAAGCCAATAGAAAAGTATGAAAGAACAAAGGACAAAAGTACCTCAACCCCTATTCTGATAGCGAGCCCTTCCTCTCCACTCTCAAGTCCAAGTGTATCCAGCTTCAGGTCTGTAGGACTACTTGAGTCTTTCTCATTAGACTGGTTTTCCTGGCCTTCTTCAAAGAACTTGTACAAAGGTGCCTGCATCATTTGAAGCATAAAATGTGACATTTGGGTGGCACGTCTTCTTTGGGCAGATACCATAACAGGAGAACCTGATTGTCCATTAACACCAGGCCACTCAGCACGAATGGTAGGAATAAAAGCCTCAGAGATGCTCCTCTGCATAAGGACCAAAGAAACCCATCAGATAGCAGTTTCCACCACAAATCTGAAATGTAAAACAGTCCATTCTCAAAACACACAAGTATAAATTTGGTTTTCGTAGAGATGATAATGGTAATTGTCTCATTTCTATATTCTTATCTATTCTGCAGTTTTTTCAGTTACCCAATATTGTCTGTATGAAATGTAGTTAAGTTGAACTTCAGGCTTTTCCAATTAAACATTATGCTCTCCCCACCCACAAAAAACAAACAAAAAAAAAAAGACAAAAACTTTGACAGCATAAAGCAGTGGCACAGGCATTCTTTTCATTGCACCTTCTCACATAAACAGTAACTCGACTTGCCTTGTGATCGTCTGAGAGAGCAGGATACTGCTCAAAGAACACAGACAAGCACTGCCTTAACCTGACAAAAAAGGCAACTACATCATTTTCAGGATAAAAGCAAAGGAATTCTACAGGCATAGCAGGAGTGCGGGGGGAAAGTAAAGAATGAATACCTGTGTAACTCCTTGGTTTCTTCACTGAAGTATAGTTTGATAAGCTTCCCAAAAATTAAGGGATGCATAGAAGAAGAGATGCTTGGATAATTCTTGCTCTGAAGTAACATTTTTGCAAACCCTTCAGCAAGTACAGCTCGAACAGTCTGATGATCTCCAGCGTCTGAACAATTGTCCCATTGTTCTCTGTCGAATCCAGAATACAAGAGATCTACAACCCCTAATCCCAAGTCATCATCCCCATCACAGGAATTTCCGGAGGGAGAAATCCCATTATCATCAGGAGATGGTGTCGAAAGACCCAATCCTACAGCCCTATCAACTTCTTCAGGACTGTGCCACATAGCAAGGTCAAATAGAGCCTTTCCAGCTATGATGCTAACTGAAGATGGACCATTAATAAAAGAAATTCGCAATTGCTTAACCATCTCATGGCTTGGCTTCCCCTCTGCTAAACCAAAAAGGCCCAGACATCTAACAGCAACCCTTCGAACATCCATATGAATGTGTTTTGCCTGTTCTTAAAGAGTAAAGATAAGGAATCTTTATAAGCCTCACTTTAATAGTGCACCGGGAGGTAAGAAATTATGATAAAGAAAATCTTAGGTACAGAAATACAAGTATTAGCTCAACATATATGTATGTCTCCTCACAAAGCACGAAGAGTTATTCATCAGATTCGCGGTTGTTCTTATGAACAAACATTTATGATACTGAAACTCATACCTTATGGAGTATGTTATTCCATTTTCAAATTGGTTTATCAAGCATACCCAAAATGAAAAACAACTACCATTTAGCAAACTACAAAAATAAAACTCATGTGTATAGACTTCTAAGGAGATGGATTCACGCATGACAATTCAAGCCTAGAAAGAGAAAGTAGAAATGATTAGACAAGGAACAATAACACTAAAATAAACTAACCGCTGGAAGCAGTAACGAGTGAAGTATTTCAGAAGCTTCAATAGGTTTTCCACGAAGGCTCTTGAAGGATTTGATGTTTTCCAAGAGAAGGCCGGTCACTGCAAGACAATGCATCCATTGCATAAAATCAGCACCTCTCTCTCTACATGGACAAGCAAGCTCTTCAACAACACTGATGACCACGTCCTCAAATTCTCCAGCAGATGCATGTACTTTTCTTGCCAGATCAGACACTGCTCTTGCCCAATTTCTATCTCCACCAAGATTTATACCATCCCCTATGAGCACTTTAGTCCCGTCCTCCTCATCAACCTCATGTTCGAGAGGTCTATACAATAGCTCTTTTATAAAAGCACTAGCCACTTTTCTATTTGAAGCATCAGAAAAGTCTAGCATTACACCAAGCAACAGAAGCTGCCTCGAAGTGAAACGATAATTTGGTCCTGAAGAAAGAGAAAAGGATTATAACAAAGTGGGGAACAAGAAAAACACGCACACACATGCATGCACACAGAGTGTTAAGCATACACATGAGCACACACCAGTGCGTGCACATGCACTGGAGATTTGATTGATTCCTAGCATCTCATATGGTTGTTTGAGCTTACCGGCAAAGAGATGTGCCTTAACCAAATCAACATAATCAGCAACAGTGGCAGGCAGAAGTTTTTCTAAGAGGTCATTATTGTCTGAAGCTACTGCCGCATATACAGCTGCTTCTGCACCTGCTGTAGCTGCAGCATCACTACCTTTTGCCTAAACAACCAATTACAAAATAAAACACAACTACAAGAAAGGAGAATTCAACTAACGTTTTATGAGGTCAATAATTTAGATTAATAATAAATGGGAATGTTTTACTAGCGATGTGACTTATAAAGTACGACCAAGGTATAAACTTCGCTGTCCAGGAACAAAAGAAAGTGACAAAACATGGATACTAGAAGGTGGAGCACAGCACTTTCCAAAAGTCAGGGCATTCCTTTATGCAGTTTCATTTCTTTTGAGCAAAACAATAACAATAGCGGGGGCTCAAATTTGTATTATTCTTTAACCATAGATATCACAGATCTCTTTGAACAATCGACATTGCAGTCAGCTTGATATCCACCACACATAGACATTTACAGATCGGATTATGAGATGATGAATAAATTTTGAGATCTCAAAACCACCTGGAAATCAACAAAAGTGAATTCCTTTGCCATAGAAAGTATCAAAAGAAAATATAAAGAGCACAGCAATGGTAAGCTGTCGAATTAATTAAACAAATAAGTACACTAGTAGGATCAAGGACCCAATACAACTAGCCCTCGCTGTAATGAGAAACAGGTAACCCCAGCCGTCATTCTTCCTACAGAGTGATAACTAAAGCAGAGTAGGTCAATATATGCTGGAAAAATTGCCCCCACATGTAAAAGGGAGATAAGGTAGCTTATTTCAAGAAGAAAATACATGAAAGACATCCAACCAAAAAAGAACATCGGAGTGGGTCAGAAACTGAAGATCACAAAATGGAATAATACACCCAATACCTGCTTGTTTTAGTACAGTAACCTTGTCAAAGACACATCGAAAAGGGGAAAAGGTAAACAAAAAAATTTTTTCTTACCTGTGCTTCAGTTTGCAAGTGTGCACATAAAGTTCTCCAGTAAAGAGCAACTTCTGCCTCAATTAGTGGAATGCCTCTACTGCCATTTCCTGATATGCATATTTCATTGTGTTACAAAAACTATACCAAGTGCCATAGCCACAGATATTAAATGCAATTACTTAGCTATGTTGCTGTGACAAAGGACATGAAATTTAGCTTTCTGAATTACAGCCTGCCAGATGACATTGCATATGTAGAATACGGAGGATGCAACATAACCAGGAAGATACCACCTAGGAGAACTAAAATATAAGCAAGTATTTAGTTTATACTTTAAAGTGCAAGTGCAACCATCAATGAACAAAATGATTAAATATAGCAAATCAGAAGCACATGAGACATATTCAGAACATGATGAACATAACTAATACGCAGGTTTGAGATCCATGTTTGAACCTCAAAAGAGAACAAGAAACGATAGGAAATATCCCAAAAGAAGACTTCCAACTACTATAATGAAAAAAGCAATTCCAAAGAAACTTCTGATGAAAAGTACAATAACATAGGAATTAGTTGTTTTCATACCTGAGTTTATATTAAATGCACAAAACATATGATGCCTAAATACAGCTATGTAGACAGCTACTACATAAATTTTATGTTCAAAACACAGATGTTTTCATCGTATCCAACATAGGTCATTTGTTGCATACAAATATGAGCCTCTAATCTCATCTACTCGATGCAACCAAGTAAACAAAATTAAAATCATTTGCTACATATTTGCCATTAACATAATGCTCCTCCTTATATCCGTAGACTGTTAAAAATCGGGGAATGCCTCTCAAAACATGATTCCTACATCCTCCTAAAATGTACAAATATTTAAATGAACATCCTCCATGAAGGACACAAATAACCCACAAGCTATACATATATATGTATGACTTGTGTCAAAAATCACATGTATCATGCAAATCATAATTAGGCATGTTGTCTATTAATGCCCTTGGCGGGAATCGCTAAATTCAGTATTCCATAGCCAAACCAGAACCTAGTTGCTGGCACGTGAAGCATCAACCACATCCCCTCATGATCACACCATGACATGCCTCCAAAGAACAGATCCAGCTTCTGCTAACTGTTAATCACCACTGTTGGTCTGCCACTTATCCTCAGCTTCCTTAGCAGAATTGACAGAGTCCTTTGCAGGATTTCCTGCATCCATGGAGACATGTCTTTTTTTATCTTCCAGGTCATAAAAACCTTTGCGCATGGATCGCATGCTTCAAGCTCATTGACATCACATGAGCCGCCCAGGAATTGAGCCTTCAGTTCGGCCCTACCATCAGAAGAATCAAGAATAATGTGGAAAGGAGGCCCTAAAACACCAGCTGCCAGGTTGAAGAGAGCTAGCAACATTGGGACTCTGTTGGGCTGGACCCTTCCAAATATTCAGAAGGTGAACGGCATCATTTACCCAACATCACCTCAAGATTTCAGGATGAAAGGATTTGAGAAACATATCACATATGGAAATCACATGGAGTGAACCTTAGCCTAAACTAAAACAATAACAGTCATAAAACACAGAAAGGATCATGAAGGCCATCTCAGGAAAATGGCCAAAACGGACACATTACTCTACATGCTGGTTGAGCTATGGTCCTAAACTGGTCTTAAGAGAATAGTAGTCATGTGAAATTACAACCAATTACTGTAAAGCCAAAGCGGATCTTCAAAAGAGACCCGAGGAGATTAATACATATATGATGGCCTGAACGAGAGATGATCCATTTCCAACCCTTTCAAAGAGCAACTTAGTCTCCAAAATAAAGCTATGGTACACATGTCAAAAGGACTAGCAACATGTTGAAAATTTGCAGTAGAAGATGAAAAAGTGGGAGGCTAAGGTAAGAAGGGCTGGAAATTTGAAGATGGGAAAATTGGTGCTGGCTAAACTTCAGCCCAACTAGCTGTAGATCCATAGAGGTGTGCACAAAGGGCTCATATGGAAGTATAATGGGGCCTTTACCAACCCATAATCAGGGCTCGGGAATGCAGCTTCTAGGGTCTCACAAGGCTAAAGCTTCACACAAGTTGCTTCAAGCATACAGAACAAGGTGACGATCAAAGTCCACATGAACTGAAGCATTCATTGCCATAGAAGTCAAACGTACAATGCAGTTAGGAAACCACTTGATACATGCCAGAAACTCCAAGCATTCCAAGCGGGGGACAATCTCAATAAGCATTAAAAATAATACATAAAATTTAAATTATATATTTAAAGGGCAGTGATTTCATGCGACGGTTGTATCATTGTATAATGCAACAATCTTCAGAAACCATGTTAGGGCCATTTGTTTGATCCAAATTTTGAACTATACACTCTTTCATTCTAATGAACAATTACAAAAAAGAAAATTTTGAAACAAAACCTAGAAAGAATTTTTTTAGCCCAATTAACATAGGCTGTCCATTTTGATAAGATGTTTACATCTAGGCCTAAGAAGGATTTTTTCTTTTCCAATTTTTTTAGATGCCTTTATTATCATTAGATGAACAATGTAAAAAAAGAAAAAAATCCCAATGATCTCTCTACACATACACACAAGCTAAAGAAGCTAAAATCCCAATGATCTCTCTACACCCTAGCAAAAGCTAAAACAAGTTCAATCATCCAACATGAAACACAAGAACAAGAGAAGCTAAACCTTAATTTGTAGTCCCTTCCCATCCCAGAAATAAACATCTAGTTACGGCAACCTTAAGAAAAGAATTAATTATGAAATCAAAATTGATTCAATAATCTCATAATACTTCTCAAACTCTCCCTAAATTATATATACATAGCATGAGGTCCCACTTAACAATGATGATATCGTCCTTGCTTAACAAACTTGAGAATGACATATCTGGTCCTTGCACGAATGAAAGGAAAGGGCGCTGCCCTCTCATTGATTGGTCCCTTAAAGGCATTCTAAAGTGAAAATTTAACCAATAATATTTCCATATACCATTTATAAACTTGGTCCAAATTAAAACACACAGCACAGATCAACATGAACTCAAGCCAAATCAAAGCACATGACACACATCTGAGCTAACAAGTAAAAATAGGAACGCATGGCTGCATACCACATGGGCCGTGATGCATTAAAGTAAAACACACTCATGAAAGAGAAGAAATCACCCTAATTATGCCTATAGGTCCTATGTGATGTCATGACGAGGTGGAGTCTTCACTAATGAACTTGGGGACCATAATGAAGGGCACACCCCCATAAGCTCTACCCAAGCTGCATGAGAGGAAAAGAAGATGCCATTGATGAAGATCATAAAGTCAAACTAGACTTCCAACACGAAAACCATGAGGAGTTACCGAGAAAACATAATTGTGATTGTCAATCTCAAATTATTAGATGCCTTAGCATTTACATCATGAATCACTAGTAAATGCTGGAAAGAGGCATATTAGCAAAAAAAAGATATCATCATCATCAAAGCCTTTTCCCAACTAATTGGGATCGACTACACAAATCCTGATCCACCATTCTGCTCTATTAAAGGTCATACCCTCAACGAGGCCATAAGTCCCCATATATTTTCTTACTACGTCCAACCATGTCCTTTTGGGTCTATCCCTTGTCCTTTTTTAGCCTACCCCTTACCATTTTTGAGCCTTCCACTTGAACTAACTTGCACCTCCTAACAAATGTTGTATTGGATCTGTGCCACACACGGTCAGCCCCACCTAAGTCAACTCTCTCTAATCTTATTGCCTATTGGTGCTACGCCTAAATTTTTTCGAATGTATTCATCTCACATTCTAATCCCTTCTTGTCTTGCCACTCATCCATCTCAACATCCTCATCTCCGCTACACTCATTCTACATGTATATTTTTTTTTGACCACCCGACATTCTATCCCATAGAACAAAACTAGTCTTACAATTGTCCAATAGAACTTTCCCTTATGCTTCAATGGTATATGGAGATCACATAAAATTCCGGTTGCATATCTCCACTTCGCCCACCCAGCACTAATTCTATGTACGACATTTTCTTCAATCTCTCTATTTTCTTGGATTATTTACCCAAAACATCGAAAGTGCGCTCTTTTTGGTATATCCTGACCATCAATCTTAACTACTTCCTCTTCTCTACTCCTATAATTACTAATTTTGCATCAAAAAATCATATCACATGAAATGAATATTTCAAATGCCGCAGCCATATACATCCGAAAACAATAAGGATCTATCTAAAATGAAAATAAATAAAAACTTAAAAAACCCACCAAGCCAAGAAATAAATTGTCGGCATTTATTGGTCACAATTTCTTCATGGCATATGCATGCACAAGAGGAACATCATTTGCAACAGCATAGAATTGAGAACAACCCACCATTATTTGTGACTTGCACTGGGATTACAAACTGATCAATACATAGACCATCCTGAAATGGCACCATCCCAGTTTTCAAAAGCTCCTCCATGACAGCCTCTCCAACCAATTCATAAGTTTCCACATCTAGAAATTTGAGAAGGTTTATGGGATCACCATGGCTACTGTTTGTGAGCCATGAATCTTTCAACATCTTCAGGCATTCTTTAGTAACTGACAGGGACCTGTCAGCAAGTCCCCTCTGAAGAATAATAGCTCGATGCTTGATGCTACAACGAATAAATCAGTTAAAACATCAGGTCAACAAATACGAAACAATATGACAGATGAATAACATGAACACAATGTAGAAACCATAACAACTTACCTCAGGCTCTGAAGGGGGAAATTTTTTGCCAGGACAATGTATGCTGAGTTGCGCACAGAGTCACTGATATCAAGTGTACGTTCAATCACATCCATCGCTGTCAATTTTGATGGAGGCATGGACAAGACTAGCATTTTACGAACTTCCTACAGAAATACGATAACAGGTTCAACTAGTATGTCAATAACATATTGGTACAAAACTTAGCATGCTGAAATGTTGCACTAGAATCACATACAATGTCATGAGAAAAGACTTCAAACTCATCATCATCATCCAAGCTTTATCCCAATTGTTTGGGATCGGCTAATGAGAAAATGCTTGAAACTAAAAAGTCCAAAAAATGACAAGAACAACAAATTTGCAGGAAAATTTGTGTCCCACAAGGACATAATGATGAAAGGCTTCCAATGATCATGAGAAACAACTACAAAAGAGTAACTTTCAACCACACCAAGGGATGCATTGATCAGCATGTGTAGCCACAGAAATGTCCATATGCATATCATTAACTCCAAAATCACCGGTCCACACAAAGTATTTTTTAAAAAATTGGCAGATACTTACTGCATTATGCTCACCAGCCAGAACCTGCCGGTATAGATCAACTATGTCTTCATTCTCTGAATCGCTTGCAAAGCGTGCTAAGGCACGAACTGCAAAAGCCCTAACAGTTGGAACCTTATCCTGCATCCGTTGTTTCATGCAATCTATCACTTCATCCCAGACATCATTGCTTACTTCCGCATCGTCTGGCAATCGCATTATGATCTACAAAGGGGAACATTTTAAGCATAGAAAAGTACATGCAATGTATCAAAAAGCTCTGCTTAATGAGAAGAGATTTTAGATGATTCAAAGCTCAAGATCCATACAATTCATACAAAACATCGAGGATCGCAGATCCAGCAACAAAGGTTTTGTCATTTTTGGTTAAATATCTTTATATTTGAATTCTTTGAAGTTGTGTTATATGTGTGAAATGCGATACAACATTACCTAATTACTTCCAAACTTTGGATTTTTAGAATCAAATTTTTTATGTCAATTGATTAAATATAAACTTTAATTGTAAAACATATAGTTTATCGGAAGAATGCATATAAGCCATATACATATGCATGAATATACACACTTTAACACCATATAAATATAAAGGCTGGGGCACCTCAAAACTAACATGCACGCGCAGCCAACACGTCACACAAACCCCCAAATCCCCCCCCCCCCCCCCCCCAAAAAAAAAAAAAGAAACCCCTTTTCTTGGCATATTTTGGTGAACAAAAAAGTCCATGGTCTCTTGGAAATTACGGGAAAGGGTATCAGCGGTTGATTCCTGTGTATCAAGGACACGGTGTCCTTATTCTTTGTACGTGTCAATATATCAAAGATGCTATTTTACAGATATTTAATAATATCTTAAATATTTTATATTTTAAGAAGAGGTTCTAGATAGCGTATCACGTATTTTAATTTTATTATTTTTTATATAAATCGGATTTGGACTAATTTTATTGTTTTTTATATAAATCAGATTAGCTTTTACAAATTCTCATTGTCATGGACTTGGATATATACATAATCTCTTCATAATTGTTACATGTATACTTTTCTTATATATTCTTTGATACTTTTTTTTTGGGTAATTCATTGGGGAAGACAAGCCCCTACCCATTTTCTCAAATAGATTAGCAGTTAGCTTTCTGAAGTATTAGTGGGGTTGTGCTAGTGATGAGAATGGAAACTACAACGTGGTGACTAGGGTGTGGGGTGCTACCACCACAACCCAAACCCCTTTCCCAAATCCAGAATCTTCAACTTTACATATAAAAAATGCCCATCCTAGGGAAACTTTTCATGTCAACCAGTTCCTTTCCTAATATGGTTATCTCCGCAAAAAGATAGTTTCCTCTACAAATTTCAAAAGTCAAACAACAATATTCTTCTGGGCTTGAGACAAAAGACCACTTGCGACTGATTACGCAATTAATCTAAGAATCTATAAGAAAAATTGGACATAGAAAGATGTGGACCATTGTTCGGAAAGGCAAACCGCCCAGTGCCCAGGCGGCTGCCGCCCAGCGCCTAGGCAGTTCAGATGGCTTGGGCGCCTCGCTCAGGCCTAGGCGGTAAATATAGGTGGCCTTCCCCTAGGAGGCGACCTAGGCACTTGGGCACCAGCCTAGGCGGGCCCATTGCCCAGGGGCAGAAATGCCTCTCGTTGAGGGGCTTTTTTGGGTTGTTTTTTAAAAATAAGAGGACAGATTTTTTAATGAAAAGAGGGGGAAAATGTGGGATTTGGGTTCATTTCAAACTTAAACTCCAGTATGGCTCATTTCAGAGAGAGAGAAACTTCAAATAACTAGATTTTTATGATTTCCATAGAATCAAAAGGTTTCTCAAAATTACGAGAAATCTATCTAAACATCACCCATTGAGATTAGATTTAGCTTTGGACGTTTCATAGGTCAATTAGAGGGTTTTTATAAGATTTTAATATTTAGAAAACATCTCAAAGTTGGAAGTTTGGAGATCAAGTAATCAAAGTTAGTGAAAAATTTTATTTTTTAGATTGCTTTTATTATTTTGAGTTGTCTTCTTCAGAATCTAATAGAAGTGGTGATCTAGGATAGAAATATGGCTATAACCCAAATCCTTTACATAAAAATTGCATGGTATAGGCAGCTACATCGTCCATTGCATGCAGCTAGTTATTTTTTTAACCCAGCTTTTTTTATGCCGATAAGGATGCACACACAAATGACACAATTATGACTAGATTTAATAAGTGCGTAGATGTGTTAGTCCCTACTCCGAACCACAACATAATATGTGTTGATGAGCTAATAATTTACAAGTGCAGATTAAAGTCTTTTAAGAGTCCAATGGTGGTAAGGCAATGGGCCAAAATTGATCTAGGTAATAATATTTTTAAGTTCCTCAAGTTCAAGTTTCATTTCATGTTTGTTGTTTGTTTTCTATAATATATATTTCATATATTAATATATAATTAATAATTGTAATTCATAATCAATTTGCAATCAATTTGTGGAGCCAACATGGGTGTAGTGCTCCAAATTTACAAAACATTGACCATTCGGATCTTGAGCCTAACCACTACCTCGTCCCACTATGAGCGGATTTGGAGGACTTTTGAGATGGTAATTTAGTCTACTTTATTAGTTTGCAAATTGAAATTTACTAATTTGTATTAATACTTTAGCAGTTACTAGTTAGTTACTAATTACTGATTATTATGTCAGTTGTAAATTTGTAGCTTTGTGGTAATATATTATGGAAAATTGTTTCATGCGACTGGACCGCATGACTACATATGCGGTCCAAAAAGTGTAAAACATCCATCTTAATGATGGATGCAAGTAGGTGTTCCATCTAAAAAAATGGAAACTAACGGTCCAAACGTTTTCTTACTAGAATTATTATTTCTAGTTTCTAGAATTTACTTATTTTTTCATATTCATGATCTCCATATAGAGATTATATGTCCTTAAAAATTAAGTCCAAAACTCCATCTCAAAAATAGATTCATTAATAGGCCCGCATTTCTATATATGTGGGTCCTTATATTATATATTTATATTAGTTAGTTTCATTTAATTTTATTAGATTCATACAAACAAAGGGAACCAGCTTGAATAAAAGGTGCTCAATGACCTAGTCTATACCAAATATAATCAATACTTGAAGGAGAGGTTTGCTAAGAGAGATAAGAAAGACCCCCTCAAATCAAAAAATATGGATAATGCTATGGAGTGGTTGGATGATGATGTTGAGCTCGAGGGGCATGAAGGAGATATGGTCATAGAGGCCTTAGGGACAACAGCCGACCCTCCTAAGGCCACTAGATCCTCTCTCTCTCTCTC